AAACGCAGATATTAAAATGATATCATTTTGTAGGCTCCTCTTTCTCTATTATTTATATTAAACTTTGGCCGAAATTTAAAAGCACAGATTTTTAATAAAATTTTGAACAAATTCTTCGAAATTTTTTAAGCTCATAATGTACTTTAACTGAAAGTCCCTGTGGCAAAATTATCAGTCTTTAACTACACTGAAAATCTTTACTATAAAGTCAACGAATATTCGATTTTTATGGTCTATCAGAACGTTCGATTCGACGGGCAGGCTATAATATTTACATCAGCTTGTTTGATAGGGCTTTAATTCTTTAGCTTTAAATAGTAAGCGGTTTGCTTGCTATTTTAAATTCTTTCGTAATTCCATTTAATGCTTAACTCTTTCCCAGGAATTGTTAATAAGGACTGACTATTTACTTGATGGGGTAATTTAGTAACGTTATTTGCTCTAGTGCCGTTGGTTAACTAGTGAGTATTAACAACGGTCAGTGAATCATTGTCAATCGGAAACATTGGTGTGTTGTTTAATCATAAACGCAAGGCTGTTTAGCTTGTTTGTAAGTTTGAATCAGCAAAATATATATAAACAAGAGCAAATAATTGAAATAAATTGGTCAAAATTAAATAAAGGAACTTTACAGAAGCCTTTGAGTTTTGTAAAAGAGCCATATCTGTTTATTTACAGTTATCTAGTACCATTAATTGTGCTCACGGGTTCGTTGAAACTTTCTAGGTACAGGGAAGAGGCAATAAGCGAGAACCAAAGTAAATTCATAAACCAATTAATTGACAAACACCGAGTCAATTGACGAGCGTAGCCCAAAAGTCAAACCATGATCGGCTATACTTGTTAAATGGTAGGATTAATTGCAATTATTACAATTGCTATATGCGCAAAAGTTCTAATTTGTCATTTTTTACCATAACTTTTATTTCAATTAAAAAAAAAACGAATAAGTGTATAAAAACAAATAAATATATAAAATAATAGTTTTATCCAATAATATATTTAAATCCGTTTATCAACTTTAAAGTTAATATAATAATTGGTTATGGGAAATTCAGCCTCATCTATTATATCAAATGGTCATTTATCTGGATCAGTATTCATATATTTATAATATTAAAGTTTTTGGTGCATTAATTGAAAACCCAGGTCTTCGCGTATCTTGATTGCAAGATCTCTATTATGAAAATTGTATATGTATGATGCCTTTGTATAGGGTTTACCATTTAACACTTATAAGTACTCCAGTTTACACTATTCTTATTTCGATAATCCCAAATTTGCAATAGATTACTTTGAAGAATACTGTCACGATGAACGGCATTTTGTTCATGAATATCTTCTAAACCAATAATAAAAAAATAAAGCATTTCAATTTTTCCTCTCCATATTAAATTTTTAAATTCTTTTGTTAAATAACTTGTGAGACTTTAACTCTTCATTTGTAGCTCCAGAGTCGCCAATGTATTTAATATCATGAACAAGTTAATCTTGTTTGTAGTGAACTTTATTTGCTTCGCCAATTTATTTTTTATAATTAGCTACTCACTACAATGAACTCGCGTCACGGTGGTAATTGAATCACGTTCTAAAGAAAAACTGTGAATTTAAATATTTAACAAATTAATTCAGTATCTTTGGAATTATTTTTTGAAAATATATTAACGAAACAATGCTTTTGTTTTTTTTTTTTTGAAAAGAATGATCAATTAAAACAATAATAATAATTGCTAATTCATAAGAAATTTTCTACTGTAAAACTGATTTAAATGATGCCTACAAAGGATATGGTTATCATTTTAACTTCTGTAGATAAGAAAGAATTTGCATCAATGTAGATCGTAGTGCTCAATTCCCCACGCTTATTGGCATTAGTATTGATCGATGAATTTAGGAACAAGATTATTTGCAAATAGTAAGTTGATTATAAACACTCACCCGGAGAAAAGAGATATTGATAATAAAATGTTTAGGACAGTAGTTATACCTCAAAAAGTGGGGAATTTGTGACCTTCAGTGCACCATGAGTGACTAGAGCTGCAGACATGATTTTAAGTTAAAGAGCCGGTTTATATTCCTTTCCTATGGAGAATCAGTATATATTCCGAAGAAAGTTCCCGGTTAACTTTTATATGTAAATAAATAATTTTTCTTGTAATTTGGATGTTGATAAATTAATTCAGAAATTACAAATGATCAACTAATATCATTATTGTTTATATAATCAAAAAACTGGAATATAATTTTTTACAAGTATTAATGTATGGTATGTATCTATAATATAAAAAAACCTAAAAATACAATTGTCAATTAATGAATATAAATATAATATACAAAAACCATCATTTTCCATTCCCAACATAAATTAACAACCAATCAACTATTCCTATTCCACCACATATCCAAAACAGTGCTCCTGCTAATTGAATTCCTAGTAGTACGTCTCAAGAAATTATTTAAACTATCGACACCATCTGCAACAACACCACCAACAATCTCAGAAACTGAAGACACAGACGAAATCGGTCTAGAATGTGGTGTCATTATTGACGATGATGATATTGATGTAATTGTGTTGTTGTTGTATGTATTGTTATTGTAATTGTTATGGTTTATGGATTTTTGATGTAATTCATCAACTAATTTTTCATATTCATTTGAAATACGTGGTGTTTGCGATAATGAAGAATAATGTGGTTCATCAAAATTTGCTCGAGCCTGTCGAAGCTCTTCGAGAACCTTTTCATGAAATTCTATTTGTCCATCTAGGTATTGTCTAGTAACTTCACGAAAATCTTGAACCCTTTCCTCATGTATTCGATCAACTTCTGCTAGTGTGACATTAAACACAGTGTCACAACGTGATTTAACTGTTTCAAGATCTACCTCCTATGTTTTTATTAATTTTTTATTTAAATTTTGATAAATTTTAAATTAAATTTTAGAAAATTAAAATTATTACCTCCAACAATTGATGATTTGCATTTTCATCAGAAACTTCTTTAAACTTCCTATATGTTCCCGTATGCATATCAATCAATGGCTATATATTTAGAAACAAAAGAGAAGTTAATTTAAGCCTCCTCCAAAAAACCTATTAAAATCTGTGAATTATAGTACCTCATAATTACTGGCAGGATAACTATAATCTTTCATATGTTCTAACCATGGCATACAAGTTTCGTTTGACTTTTATTTAAATAATAATAAAAGAAGATTATTATTGACTTAGAAAAAAAAAAAAGAATGTAAATATTAATACTAACTACGATATACATACATATGTTTCATATATGTTGGCTATTGATTGCATGCTTTCCGCAATTGATTGGAGCGCCTTTGTGAGACTAAGACAAGCTAATTAAAAATAAAAGTCATGGTTAATTTTTTTTTTGGAGGAAGGGAAAAAATCAAGTATTTTTATTGTTTTAAAATATTTATTATTAACCTTGACAACCATCTCTCCAGCACCAAGCACCTTCTTCGTTCAACATTTCATAACCTTCCCCCAAATTATGACCAGTAATAAGTTTTAATAAAGCATAACTAACTTTACGATATTGTTTTTGCATTTCTATTAAATAATAAATTAAAATAAATGTTAGATTTGAGATATGTTAAAGAAATAAAAGTTTTTTTTTTGTTGTTCTTACCATCGACAGAATCTTTATGAGATTGTGATGCCTCGTTAATAAACGGCATAAGCTTTTCCATTGCACGTGAATGTGCTTCAAATCTTTCAATTGTTTCAACATCTCTACATTTATATGTATTTTAAACATTGTAAATAAATAAATAAATTGTCTTATTTAAAAGAAAAAAAAGAATATCATTTATTTATTATACCCATCATCGACATTGTATTCTGGATGATAAACATGTTGAAAAAATACATGTCCAATAATCTGATCTGATTCAAATTGCTTTTCTCGTTTATACCATTCCTAAGAAAAAAAATTTTTTTTGAATTAATTACTACTTGAATAATTAATTAATTGATTGATTAATTAATTAATAGATAGTTATATTATATACAATACATTATCATTCTCACAACTCAAGAAATGCGTAAGCAGATCAGAGTAGCGAATTACTGGATGTCGAGCTAATCGATTAATGTAACGTTCTAAAGCACGTCTACGTTTTTCAACAAATTGTTCATTAAATCGCCCTAATTAATCAATTAATTTAATTAATTAATTCGCCATTACTATTGCCATAGAAAATAAATGTTATTATAATGTTTACCAGCATATTGTTTTTCTGGAAGTGGTGGTAATATGAAGGCACTAAATTTTGCTGCTAAATGTCGATGCAGCCATTCAAATTGGCTAAATCTTCTTTCGACTGTGACCTGTGCACCTTCTGTAAACTAGGATAAAATTAATAGATTAATAATAATAGATTAATGGGTTGTTATTATATAGTCTGCTATTATAAAATACAAAAATTTAATTTACGACTTACTAATGAAGTGACATAAAATATCGTATATTCTTGAACACCACCAAGTTTTACTCTTTTTTCTGGGTTATGGACTAATACTTTAAATGTTGGTGCTTTTTCTTGCCAGCTTGGTCCACTCTAATAAAATTCATAAATAAAATTCATAAATTTCACCATTGTAATAATTTCAAGAATAATTATTAAATAGTCATAGAAATGAAACCTCAATATAATGTTTATCAGATTCGGTTATTTGTTCTTCATCTTCATCTTCAGATCTCTCTATTTGATGATGATGAACATTGTCATTACTACTATGGTTTTCACTTGTTAACAATGGTTGGCCACCACTTAATATAAATTCTTCTACACCAGTTGTCACAAACCAACTAAACCTATTCAATTGTCTTCTACCCAGTATTGTACTATTACGCGCTGATGATGGTGTCGTTGTTGTTGTTGATCCATTTACTATTACTTCTGTTGTCGTTGATACTGGTGATGACATTAAAGTTGTTGAATTGATGGAATCGCTATCAGATGATAATGGTGGAGGTGAACTTGATAATAATGGTGGAGATAAACTTGATAATGACGATAATGATGGTGAAAGTGGAGTATTATGAAGTTCTGTAAATTCTGTGGTAAACTAAATCATATGCGTATATATATATATATATTTGTATGTAAGTGATTGATAATTATAAAAAAATTAAAATTTGGTTCTTTTTTTTAAAAAAGAAAAATATTTACCGTTATATATGATTCAGGTACAAGACCTGTAATACCATCTTTTTCAGCCAATGACCATCCCTCTGCCAAATTTTCCTTTAAAACATTCAAAACGTCCCCTGCCTTAAAAGACAATTCGCGATACGATGCTTCACCACTGAAATCATATAATGCTCTAGCTTCACGACCAACAGGCGGTAAATAAATCTCTGATGCTCTTGGCGTACTAGTATTTTCTCCATTCGCATAATAATTATTATTCTCATTCTCATTATCCTCGTGACTACGATCAATATAGCTTTGTTCTCCTCCTTCTTCATATACCTCTCCTTGTTGTTGTCGTTGATGGTTTTGTTCTATTGGTGAGCTTTGTGTTGGTGAATCTGTTAAGTTTGGAGAGTTTAATAACATTTCTGAAATGCTAGTGTTTGTTGTAATAGTGAGGGTGGAGGAAGTGGTGGAAGAAGAAGAGCCATTTGTAATAATAGAGTCTGTTGAATTTTTTGAATCGGTTGTTATAGAATTCAGAGAATAGCTAGAATTGTGTTTTTGAGCACTTACAGAAAGTCTTGCAGGTTTCGGTGGAACTGTTGGGCGAGGCTTAGTAAAAGTTGTAGACATGTTTATTATTATTATTATTTTTTAATTAATTAAAAAAAAGAATTAAATTAAATTAAAACTCTAAATTAAAATTAAAATTTTTTTGTTAAATTTTGAATTAAGAGAAATTAAATAAAAAAAATTATTCACACAAAAGGAATCCAATCTATTTTTATATATATGTAATAATAATAAATAATAATAAATAAAACCTCCTTAATACCCATTACCAAAAATTATTAAACGATATCCCCTTCACAAAATCTTTTGAAAGAAATTAAATCGATAATCGTTACACGCGTATGTCACAAAATACCCATGGACAATGGATTTAGTTTTTTGTTCAAACCCTGAATTTTATTAGCCTTTATTTTTTGAACATTACATTTTCTCTATGATTTTTCTAATAAAAATTATTTATTTTAAAAATATTTCTATAAAAACAAAAACCTTTTTTTTTATAATTAATTAAATATCATTAAAAATATTCTTTTTTTCTTTAAAAAAAAAAAAAAAGGAAGAGACAAGAAAGCAAATCTAATTGTAACGATAATAATAAATGTAAAAGGTTGAAATTTAGAACACGAATAAATAAGTAAAAATTAATTTAATTAGTAATTTTAGAGTAATAATAATAATTAATAATAAATGATAATAATAACAACGACAAGAGTTTGTCTAAGGTTTTCCAGCGATATCAGTGTATTTGGATGGGTCAATTTCAAAATATTCAGCCAAAAATATTCTAAAAACTGAATTTAAGTTGTACACAGTATTTGGATCAATTGCTGTAAAATTATCCTACAAGAATTGGAAAAATGATTTTAATTAGAATATAATATTAATTATAAATAGACATGAATTACGAGTATCATCATCCTCTTAATTATCATCTCCTCTTTCTCCCAATAACACTTACGTCTATAGTGTGCCAAACTTCAGGAAACGGATAAGCAATTAAATGTAATACAGGAACACCTCTTTGTAGAAATGGCACATGATCATCTTGAATGTGGGCTTGATAAGTGGTCAAAGATGTGGTATCAAACATCGAGCTTTCCTCGAAGTTATCATCGTCATCGTTATTCACTGTATGTGTATGTGCAGGCTTTTTCAAGATTTTTAAATCATGCAAAGTCTCTTCTATATCAGCCATTGCTCTAAACATCCAAGATGTCGTCTGAAAGAAATTCACCAAAGTTGGGTTTTTTGCTCCTAATAGATCCAACAATATGAATGTTTCTATTCCATCCAACAACGAATTTGATTTGAACGGTTGTGCATTTTTCAATGTTTCAGTTTCCCATTTTGCTGCTAAATGCCTTTTAAAAATGAAAATAAATTTTAAAAAGTATTATTTATAATTTATCATTAATTCTCCCCACGCCCTCTCTCTGTCTACTCACTTTGAACCATATAATGAATCAGCCGGAGTCCACGTTTTAAATGATTCTTCGCCATCAAAAAATATCATTTGGAGCGTTGTAGAATTAGCAGTGTCATTTTTCTTTAAGTATGGATCTATTCTATCAGCCAGATCCATCAACAACGCACAAGACAAAGCCGAGTCAGTTGCACCAACGTATTCATCATTAGGTGTTACATAATATTTAGTATCATAATGTGCTGCCATCACCAATCTTTTAGTTGCGTTAATGTTGTTGGTCGCTATAATATTATTAAATTGTATCTCTCCTATTGGTGTAATATCATTAAATTTGTCTTCTTCTACGTGCCAGCCAAGATTCTGATAATGGGCGATTATGTACTCTCGGACTTTTTTATTATTTGCTGTACCTGATGATCTTGGAATCAATATTGGTCTCAAATAATCCATAACCTTGACATTTTGTGCATCTGTATAGTTTGCAAATAAATTGTATCCAATGTCTGTCAATTTGGTGTATGCGCTTATGAAATCTGAGAATAATAACGACATTAAAATACTTAGATTTACAAGATGAAGGAACTTTATTATTATCATTTTTGTAAATTAAATTATTATTAGGTTCGTAAAGAAAATATAGTTACTAAAAAAGAAGAAAAAATTTAAAATCAATGTATTACAAAATTACAAAACAAGTTTAAAATTTTATCGTTCAGAAAAATTGCCAAGACTTAATCATTAACCAATCATGGTTTGTACTTTTATTAATCCAAAATTCGATTTTAAAAAAAAAAAATCTCCATGTCCTGTTTCTAAGTTGGTGACGAAAAATATTCTCGCCATTTACAAGTTCACTCCAATGAATACAGCAATTAAAACAATTTTACTATGGAATCTGAAAATTAATTTACAACTAATCATACTGTTAGTCAATGTACGTGGAATTAAAATTCAATTTGATTGTTTGTAGTGTGGTATTCCTACTAATCTCACTAATGGTTATTATTACTGTTATTATTATTGTTATTTTAGGAAACTTGTCAATAAATTTAATCAACCCATGATTATGCGTATATACTTTTTAGAATAGTTACATCAAAACTGTTTCACATGCAAATTAAACAAACAATTGGTAATTTTCACAATTTGACTACAAGATCAATTGACATTACTTGTTGGAATGGTGCTGCGTAATCTTGAAACAGTTTTCTTACTGACAAGATCCGATATACTAGTGAAAATTGATTTCCATTAGCTTTTATTTATGCGTAATTGTGACAAACAAGATAAAAATAACTATAAGATTAAGCAAGTGGATATTGTGGTGTTGGATTCAAATCAATTTTCAAAACTTGTACACATTCAGAAACTTTCTTGGATTAGATTGAGATTCATTGGTGGTGACATTGTTACAAGAGAACAAGCAGTTGACTTGATGTTAATGGATTATGCGTTGTGGAAGTGGCAGTTTTTATATTAATATTACATATCAAAAAAAGTTTTTCAGTGCACTTGTAATTATTTATTCATCATAGATATATGCACACAGGTTAATAATAAGGTATATTGACAGGTAACGAAATGCAGGCCAGTATCACAGAAACTTAGCCTTGGCTGCATCTGCTGTGATGACGGACGGTTTACTTACCGGCACATATGACAATATTGTCTGTCGTGTGTGATTATCGCATGCAGTATAATGTGATGATGATAATGGTAAATTGAGAAATCAATGATGATGATGCTTCAACAAAAAAGGATTACTATTCTGAAAAAGATGTGGCTAAAGTAGCAACAAGATGCAATAGACGCGATAGTTGATAAAGTTAATAATGGAGGAATTGTTACTTGATGCTTGGTGACAGGATTACAAGGCGTTAGTAAACGATGATGTTAGAAATGATATTGTGAGATTTGAATCAAGAATATGAATAGCTCAAATTGAATGGATTGTATGATTATTGTTGGTTTTAGTTGGTATATTAATTAATTTTATTTGCTAATCGAGCTTGCGTATTAAACAAGTAAATTAATTATTCACGTTAAAATAATATTATTAGCTTTGTGGATTATATTATTTTTTTTTTTTTTTTTGAGTGTTAATTATCATATGACTTTTTTTTTTTTTTGTAGATTCTTTATTTGGACATCGACGCAGTAAATTTCGAAACTCATTCGGATATTTTTTTCAATACAACAATTATAATAATTCGTCCATTGTTCATTGTACATTGTTTGTTGTAATATAAATTATGAATTGACCTTTTTTTGTATTTATTTACTCGTCAAATCAATCGATTAAACGCACACACATTTTTTATTTTTCCTTCCCTGCATATTTTCTTTGCTCCCTTTGGTGAAAAGAGAGAATGGGAAAGGTTTGTATTATCAGGAAATCATAATAATAATGCATTTATAAGTATAGACATATTTAGATTGATAGATAGAAAGAAAGCAGAATGGCGCGCGCGTAATTAGCAATATAAATTTTATATTTATTAATATTAATAAAAATATGCAAGGAAAACATGTAGAAGCATATGAAATTATGTGAAATTATGAGATGTAAATAAAACCTTAACAAGAATACGGTTCCTTTTTTTTTTTTTTTTTTTGGGTAAGAAATCATAAATGATTGTACTACACACTATAATAAAAAAAAGCTGCATGGATTTAAGTATCATTATTATTATATTTCTTGTTTAAAAAATGATATTTATTTCTTGTTTTAAAACCTGATTACAAACCTGTATATAATTAAATTAATTTTGATGTATGAAATCCGTGTGGATTATATTAATATTAATATTAATATAAAACTGTACAGTTAATATTTATTTCTAGTCTATGATTATATATATACATACAGTATGCATGTATGTATATTTATTATTAAACAAAAAACATTCAATGTTTTACGAGCAGCAAAGATTAAGATTCATGGCAAGAATTTTCATCTCCGTAAAAATAAATTTTGTGAACAACAACGGCATTCGGGTATTAGTATATATATTAATATTTACATATTAATTAATATTGATTGCCTTTATGATCGAAAATTAAAGTTAAAACATGTCATTAACAAATAATAGTTAGCACACGTGCTAATTTCTCACATAATATAAATAAAGATTTATTTTCGCAACCAATTATTTAACTATTATTAATTTTGGATTTTTAGAACCATCATCATTTCACATCATCCAGATACTAAGAAAGTAACATTATATAATATCAAATATTTATAATTTATTTACTTGCACTCACTCGTCACATACACATTAACACCACACTCGCCCATTCACACACGCACAATAATAATAAAAACAATGTTTCTTCTCACTCCACATTTCACTTTTTCCTTAATTGTAACGTTTGTTTTTTTAAAGCTTTTAAAAAATAAAAAAGTTTTTCGTAGACCAATCTAAGAACTTTTTCACAAAACTTTGTGTTGGTTTCACAGATTGTTGTAAATCATGATAATTTTATTTATTGTTATATATTTGTTGTGAGCAATATGTGAGTGTATAACGTTCCCATGGTTTTTTTTATTAGATAAAAATCAAAATTAGATTTTCCAAAAAATTTCATATGTATGTAACCATAATAAATAACTGCAAAATAAGAAAAAAAAAAAAAGACGGTATAACAATGTTTTCTGCGTTTTTTTATTGCCAAAAAATAAATTTTTTTAAAAATATATAGATTTTAAAAAAAGAAGTTTTTTTTTTTTACAAATATGGATATATATATATGCGCGTGAAAGAATGCATAATAAGAGCGTGTGGATAGGGAATTTAGCTGTAGATTACGTAAATACTGCTTAAAAAGTTGATAGATGTTTAATATTACATCTGTAATTTGCATTATCATCATCATCATCATCATCATCATCATCATGTATGCACATATATATATGTGTTCATTATTATTTTTTTTATTTAGCAGATCAAAAAAATCAATTTTTATTTTTCTTTCAATTTTATTTGGATTTTCTAAAAATTTTCTTTTTTTCCCTCTCTCTCACACATATTCACATTCTTATAAAAACTGAAACACATTCATTTTTTTTTTTTTGTATGCGTGTAAATTATCTCTATTTGAAAAAAAAAAACAGGTAAAGTAACTTGAAATCAAATAAAAAGATTACAATGAATTTGACAAATACGGATAAAATCACAACAAGAAAATATCCCGGAACAAAAGGGAGTGTGTGAACCAGACTATATTAAGCAAATTATATAACACCAAGCCACTGAGAATATTTTTTAAAGAAATCATAAAGACAAGTTTGTCATAATCAATTGTAACCATTGATTATTGAGGTAGTTAGCTAATATCGAAAATAATAATTGCAATAATTGCATCAATTATTGTTATGCAATCAATTAATTAATTTTCAAATAAATTGACTATCTATAAAACTCTCCGATAATTAAAAAAGTAACGTAATTACACGTGTAATATTCGCCTTGACTTGTTACAATAATAATAATTGGTCGATAAGAGAAAATCACCAATAAATAATAATGACGAGTAATAAATCGTGCGGAACACGGATATTTATTTTTCTAATTAATATTAAATTTATTTTAAATGTTACACGATCGTCATATTCATATATAACGTGACATGGAAAGAATTATAGTGGTTTATAGTTACATATCAAGATAATTATGTAATGCAGTGATCGTCGCTATCAAAAAGATCTGGAAAAAGAACCCTTGAACTCCTTTTTGTTCAATAATCAATAATATATAAAAATAAAAACAATGAATTACAAATAAAGTCAATCAATGAAGAATTAATAAAGCAACTAATCAGCATCAGCGAGAACAAGAAAATTTAGGAATATTGTTTTTACAAGAAATTCGTCGATTGGTCAAAATTTTTTATTTATTTATTAATATCAAGTAAAAATAATGAATGGAAATAATTTATTCCTGTAGCATGTGATTGTAAATACGTTGCATTGAATATACCGAAATATATTTTTTTTTAAAAATCATTTTCTCTAAACATATAAAAAGACCAATTCTGTCCGATCTTCAATAAAAATTTTCCGATTTAAAACTTACATATCATTATTATTATTAATTAAAATATAATTAATCATTGTTGTATATTTAATATGAAATAATATATTTTATATATATAACTAATAATAATTGATTAATATTAATAATAATAATAATAATACTAATAATAATAATAATAATAATAATAATAATAATAATAATAATAATAATAATAATAATAATAATAATAATAATAA